CCATTGCCTGGTTTGTTTGATTTTTTTTAAGTGAGTATTTTTCAATTCATTTACTAGAAGAAAGAGCACTTTCTGTTTGTGTTAGGCACAATGACTAACGATGGAGCAGCCGTCCATCCTCTGAGGCACTGCCAATGTGCCCGCCATCTCTACTATCCCAGCCACTCAGATCCTATATTTTTCTGTAATGCTGTTAGTTATCTTTGTATATTCACTTTATAAATTTATGTTTTTATGTAAGATATTGCTTAGCCTTTAAAAAGTTGTAAGAATAGTACAAATAGCTCTCATATATTTCCCTAGGGTTAACATCTTGTCACCTTTATATTTCCTCTACTCTCTCTAGACTAGGGGTTCCCAACCTTCCTAATGCTGGGACCCTTTATTACAGTTCCTCATGTTGTGGTGACCCCAACCATAAAATTATTTCCACTGCTACTTCATAACTGCAATTTCGCTACTGTTATGAATCATAATGTAAATATCTGCTATGCACCCTTGTGGGGGTTGTGACCCCCAGGTTGAGAACCACAACTCTAGAGAGATGTAGACATCCAGACAAGTTATACTTCTCTGGGCTAAGTGTAAGTTATAGGTACACACACCGATTGTACCCAAGTTGGGGTCTGGACCTCTGATGACCTGGTTGGCTTCTAATCCAGCAAGGGGTTGCCACCCTACTTTGGGGCTGGTGTCTTGGTGATGTGTACAGCTTATGATCTGGTCGGAGGTCCTCTGGGGTTCAGGATGCTGACCTGGCTTCTGGTGGATGTTAGAGTCTTCTGCCAGCGGTGTGAGCTGTGGTAGGATGGGGAGAAGAAGGGCAGTTGGAGTTGCTGGGTGGGTGAGGGCAGGGCAGGAAGTGAAGAACAGGGTGGTGGCTTCCCTGTTTTGAAAGAACTGGCCTGGCCTCTGATAGGGTAGCAGGCTTCCGACAGAGGTGTGGGCTGGGATATGGGTGGCAAGGAGGAGAGGTGGTTGGGGTTATGTTGGGCAGACAGAGGCCGGGTTTTTGGGGGACAGTCTTGCCTTGGGTTCAGGGAGCTGGCCTGGCACCCGGTGGGGAAGGAGGCTTCCAGCAGAGATGGGTGGGGAAATTTTTCTGCCCCCTCTGATTTATATTACCAGACATCCAGACAACTGTCTAGACAAACCTCTAGGCAGATGGATTGTACAGCAAATACCCCTGTGTGTGCTCTGGGTCTGGGATGGTCACAGGCTCCTCTGCACTCTCATTCACAAAGAGAATACGGGATCAGAAAGTCTCAACCCTTCATGGTAGTTTTCGGTGACTTTTTGGTAACGTTCACCCCACCCTGCCTTGATAGTGTCTCGTTTTCCCTTTTGTCGGTTCGACATGAATTGTGCTAATATACCAACGTGCACCTTTGCCAGGGGCCTCAGAAATCTCTGAAGTGAATACCTTTGGTTTGGTCTTCCATCCCCCGCCCAGCGACCTGAGCAGGTTTGTGTGATGAGTACAGACAGAAGCCGCCCCCTTCTGCTGTATAGCTGAGCTGTTTCACGGTTGTCCAGAAGTTTACTCTACTCCATGGCAACAAGCGTTCTGCCCAGATTTCCCATCTGGTGTTTGAAGCCTGCGTCTTGCAGAGACTTGTACCACTGATAGTCGCTATTCATCTGCCTTTGGCTTCAGTACTTCTGACGCTATCACTATTGCTCATCCTAAACAGCCCTCGTTTCAAGTAAGAGGCACTTGGCCTTGTTTACTTAGCAGAAGGAACTTCGGTTCCTCATCTCGAAAACGAAGGGTTTGGCTGAGAAAGCCCCTGCCAACTGTTTTTAATGATTTGTGTATGTGATTGACAGTTTGCCTAGACAGAGACCATGGCCTGTACGGCGGAAGGCCAGAGGGCCATGCCAGACTCTTAAATGAGCGAGCAAGTGAATGGCATCAAGAACCCTGGCTGTCTAGGAGTGAGGAGGCCATTTCACCATGAAGAATGCATCAGTTGTATTTTTCACTAGGTTTTCGTTTTAGAGAGTTCTTAAAAATAAATCTGAAGGCTGAACATGACTTACAACTCCTGATTGTTTATGGTCTGGCGTATTCCTTCTGTTCTTGTCTAGTGCCTGTTCTGGGTCTCCACAGGTGTGTGTGGTGTTTCTGAATATACTGAACATATCCTGTGTTAGTCTTTTGATGGTCTCAATGATTCTAGTTACCCCAACCTACCAAATGTCATATGTGTTATAGTCGCTCTGAATCGATAGCTCCCAATCCCTGCTACTTAACAAGAGGGCCACAGACAGTGCTGGATGAACAAATATGCAAATAAGAGCAAGAAGAAAATGGAAGCCTTGGATTGTGAATTGAAGTTCTCTAACCTGGTGCTTCAATACCATTGCCAGCTGGTCTTTATTGGTAGTGCCGCTTGTTGCTTCCGCTTCCCCATCTCCATTGCTGGCATTCCCCTGCCGTCCTTTTTGGTCTACCCTGGATATTTATCAAGCACCAATTCATTTCTATCACCATCAGATTGTCCCGTTTCTTCGAGACTGTTCCTGCCCACTGTTTCCCCCTCTGATGCAGTGAGGGAAGCGGCTCAGCATGCTCCCCCCCACCGTGTCCATTTTGTTCCTCACCTGTCTGATGTATTTTAGCTCTCAGCCATAGGCTCTGCATGTGGAGACTAGATTTTAGTATTGGGGGTTAGCTTTATGGTGAGAAAAAAGAAAGTGAAATGACCATCAATTTTTCAATAAAGAGACAGATACTATTAATACATTTACAATCCTTTCAACATACATGTTCATGTGTACACCCATATCTATACCTACACCATATTATTATTAAAAATGTCATTATACATGTGTTTTTATAAAGATATTTTAACATTATATAAAGGTTAATTTGTTGTTCACTAAATATGTCTTCATGATTTTAACCGTTTCAAACTTTTAAAAGCTGGTGCTATAGATGATTTGTTGAATAAAAATATGTATAGAACCCATTATTTCTAGAAAATTTTGAATATGTATTTGTTCAAATTAAACCATGATATTAATCTTTAAAATGTTCTGGATGGGGAAAGGAGCAGTATGATAACACACACTTTTAGTCTCAGCACACGGGAGACAGAGGCAGGCAGATCTCCATGAGTTCAAGGCCAGCCTAGTCAACATAGCGATTCTGGACCTGCCGAGGTGACATAGAGAGTCCCAAATATACTTTCTCCTTTTTGATGGTCTGAAATGCTACACTGTCCCCCTTTCCCTACTGAGTTATGAATTCTGGTCTAAACCCTTACACAATTTTAATATAACGTAGTATATTTTCTTTTGGGAAGTCTTACAGAACATCTATTGTTATACCATTCATGGGCATAAATTGAAACATTTAAAATTTCCCAGGAACACGAGGAAGTTTTAAAATGTCTATTATATATATTGAAAGGTAATTTATTATATGCAAATAAAAACATTTTTTCTCCAATTACATAATGGGCCAGTGAGTATTACTGGTTGCAGACATTAAATAGGGCAGCTTAATTTCTCTTATTTTCCATTTTCATAAATATCAGTGTTGAAAGCCATTTTCATATAAATCAAAATAATTAGGGTAAGAACAGTTTTATTACAGCAATATTGACTGGTTCTTTTGACTTTTAAATTATTTGTTTAAAATATGTATCAATTGCCAGTTATTTTTAATGGTTATCAGGTGATAAGCAATTAGTTCATTTGCCATTCAGTTGGTTCTGTTGACAGCAAAGGTCACAGTACTAGCAAACTATCACAAGGTGTCAGGTTTAGGGGTTACATATTATGTAATATATTATTTCATAAGGATTTGCATCTGCAAAGGGTGTGCTTATCATACAAAGTCACTGTTGATTATGAGTTTTCCACAGGGGTAGCAAAATTGCCTCAGTTTCCCCATTTGGTTTATGTCTCTCCAGAATAAACTTTGTCCATTTTCATTATGCTTAAAAGCATTTATTCATAATATATTTCAAATATGTGTATAGAAGTGTTATATTATACTACTTACGATGTTTATAATACATCACTTCTGAAAAAGTATTATAAATTCTAATTTTATGGCTTTTTACGTAAGTATGTATAGGCACTGATGAGTGTTGATTCCTCTTTTTTAGATGTTTATTGATTTAACCATTTAAAAAGTTTAATCTTTATAATCATCTAATTATTTTAATTTAGGAATTGCTTCTGATCAAGGCGTGTCTCAATGAACAAAGAAATTAATGTTTTCAGTTAAGCAAGTATTTTTTTCTTCCTGAGGTACATCTCCTTAATTCTCACTTCACTAGATAAACAATTTTCTATTTTGTAAAGGTTTTTCAAATTTTAATTTTTCCTTAAACCCTTTTTTCTCATAATATTGCATCTGAAATGAAAACAGGAAGAGCCCTGAGACCTGGCTTGGTGGACCTATCATGTCATCTCCAAAGCAGCCAAACCGAGGTGCCATTTCCTGTGTTCTAACCTTGTGACTTCCTACCTTTTCTTGAGAGCAATCTACTTACAGAGAAAACAGCCACAGCACACTTGCTCATTTCACTGTGTTCCAGGCAGATGCTGATTTCATCACCAGAATCATCACATTTATTCTCCACATTAGCCTTGTAAAGTATGAGTTAGTGTTTCCCATAACAGGCTAACAGCAGTCTTATTAGGTTTAAGTTGGGTGTTTTTTCACAACAGTGTTTCCCTTAATCACATCAGTGAAGGAGAAATGGTGCTCCTGGTCCCCATCAGTGAGTCTTCAGAAGAGCACGTCTGAAGTCTCAGATCTATGTTTCTGCAGATGAGAATATGTATGCATTTTACTTTTATGGATGACCAAACGCAAACTATTGTCATTCTTCCCTCCAAACTCAATCCCATTTGGTACCAAGTATCTTTTAAAATCCATTCAACATCACTATAGTCTCCTTTGAAAACATTTGTGTTTTTAGTGTTAACAAGTGGCTATGATTTGCTAATATTCGATTCTTTCTCTTTTTCTCTTAAAGATAGTGTTTTTAGAAGAATCATCTCAGCAGGAAAAGCTGGCCAAAGAATGGTGCTTCAAACCGTGTGAGATCAGAGAGCTGAGCCACCAGTAAGTCTCTGCGAACATCTTGCCTTTTGCTGGGAGCCAGTACCAACATTCCAGTGATCAGAAAATACAATGAGAGAGGGAGGCTTTCTGATTAAGCAGTTGGCCACCATTGGGGAAGATGGGTGAGAGGAAAGCAATCTGAAGGACAGAAACTTTGAGGACCAGAGGCTGCCGTTGTTACTTTATCAAACATCTGTTGCGTATCTTGTGTACAGTATTAAAGTCTTGGCAAGTTGTTAGCCCCAAATAAGCATGGGGGGTTGGGGATGAAGCAGGGAAATCAAGGAACAGAGTCTGAGGAACAACTACTCTGATGGCATGCTTAGGGAAGATCTGTGTCCAGAGTGCATCTGAGTTGACATTTTAGTGGTCTTTAATATCTATATAAAATGTCTTTCGTGTGGTGGGCTCACTGTCTCAATAGCCTGGCTGTTTTTTTTTTAATATAAGCTCAAATATTTTTATCTCATTTCAAAAGGCTATTTTTTCAAATCCAATAAAAGTGGAACTGCCATTTTCATTCTGAAAATACATTTAAAGCTTGGAAGGTGACTTTAGGATGATGCAGTGAGAAGCTCATTTAACTAGTGACGATATCAAATAGATTGGGTGACATGGGCCTTAGCCTCCAGTCAACTGTTCTGACTGGGTGGCTTCTTCCAACACTTTATTTATAACATGAGTGGAAGAGTGGGAAGTGCCAGCCTAGGCCTGTAATCCCTGCACTTGGAGGCGGAGGCAAGTTCAAGGCTAGTCTGGGTTACGTATTGAGACAACACCTCAAAAAGAAAATGAGAAGTGGGGGTGGGACATGAAACTGTGGGTGTTGATTAGTGATAGAACACATGCTTATTATATATGAAGTCCTTGGGTTTAATTCCCAACAATGCAAAAATAAAGTTAAATAAAAATAAAGAAATATAAAAGATGAGTGGGTGTTCTGATTACTGCACATAGGGTTGTATATTGTTCTTTTTCTTGATTTTTAAAAGGCTAGGTCACTATTTCAGATTTAAAATGTGAAGCTGATGTTCTAAGGGAATTACGCTGATGAACGTGGGATGGGAAAGTTAAAAAGTGATGGGAGGGGAGCTTCTTCATCTCCTTCTGGTACACCCAGTGGACCACCCCTTGGCCCTGTCTAATGTTGGCTCCTGATGTCTACCATCCAGCTCCAAGTCATTTTATGAATGGTGAACTGACTTCTAACCTTGGCCACATTGACAAGTTGCAAGTCTGTAATCATCCCCGAGCTGCGTCTTGCTCTCTGTAAAATGAGGTGGTGTATTTAAGGACATTGATTCCACCTGCTTCTCTCACATCCCACACTCCTGACTCTTTATCTCGCAAGCCCCAGACTCACCCTTGAGTATGTGGACTTGGCTAATGTCATGTCCCAGCGCTTGTGTTGGGGTAAAGCTACACAGGATGCAGTGAGTCCTTCAATAGCCTGTCTTCTGCTCTTGAAGATGGCACCCTCAAACACCGCCTTTGCCTTTGCCTCTTTGCTCCTGCTAGCACACACAGGTTTCCCTTGAATTAAAAAGAAGTGAAGTTCCCTGACTTTCGCTGTGAAAGATGCCCTGTTCTCTCTTCATCACCCGTATCTGGAGTGCAGCACTCCTCAGCACCTTGGACAGAACCAAAGCAGCCTGAGACTGGGAGTGAATCCCTTTGATGTTGAATGCCATGGGCTCACTGCAGTAGAGGTCCCATAGTCTCTCTGAGGCTTCATACATCTTGCCTTCGGATTTTTGTTACTGGTCACTTCCATGCCTCCTTTTTTACTCTCTCTGCGTCATGGGTCTCCTCTATTTTCTTGACAACAGTTCTGCCAATGTCAATCGTCACCACCCTCTCTTCTCTCATTCTTAAGTGAATACTGACGCTCAAGAGTTAGCCTCATTTCTACAGAAAATTTCTGGCACTAGGAACTTGTAGAGAAGTTTCTCAACCCCGAATCCTGTCTTTAACTCTTGTGTGACTGCTTACCCCACATCTTCAGTAACTTCCTGGACGCCTAGAGGCCACAAGCTAGGGTCTAGCTAGGGTTTTGAGTGTGCTCATATGCTAGAAGTTGGACCCAGTGCAAAGATGTTGAGAAGTGGTGAGTTTTGAGAGGAGGGACCTGGTTGGAGATGATTGCTGGTGATCTTGCAAAGTGAGGGAGTCCTTTTGAGAATGTATTCTATTAAGGTGAGTCTACCCCGTACAGTTGGTTTATTCTGTATGCAGCTGGTTATTCGTATAGTTCTCTGTGTGTTGTCATGCAGGAAAGTATGTCTTGCCTAAGTCATGCATATACATTTTCAGAATTTGAACTATATAAGCCTCTTTTAAAAAGCAAAGTATCCACCTTTAGGTAGTTTGTTACAGAAATAGGAAACAGTCTACTGCGTCATACTGTGACATTTGGCTTAAACTTACATCAGGAGACCCTACACACCTGACTCTTCAACCAGGTTCTCTGAAGTTTTTGTGTTCACCTTCATATGCTCAACCTGTCTCTCTGACTCATTTACCTATAGGGAGTAATAAAATATTAAATTCTTCCTCTCATGTTTGGTCACTTGCTTTTCTGTTCCCATTACCATGACCTTTATTCAGAAACTTCGTGAATGGTTGCAGAAGTCTCCTAACTCATATTTTTTCCCTTTGTGTGTGTTTGCATAGGAATGTGCACATGTGCATGCACACATGTAGAAGCCAGAGTTTGTTACTCTCTACCTATTGCTCAGGGAGGGCCCCTTTATTGAAATCCAGAGCTTATCAGTTCAGCTGCTCTACTCAGTTAGCATATTCTGGGGGTCCCTCATCACTGCCTCCCCTGTGCTGGGATTAAAGCCCCTATGCTCTCCTGGTATTTATGTGGGTGTTAGAGATTCAAACTCTGGTCCTTATGCTTGCCCAGGAAACACTTTATTCACTGGACCTTCTCTCTGGCCCCTCAACATCGTATTTTGGTAGTGATTCATGTTATTGTAAGAGTAGTTGCTTTTGTTTTCCTGTTGAGTAGTATTCCATTAGGACTCAGTTTATTCATCTGTTTTTTTTTTCCATGACAGTTTTTAATATTGTTTTCAGTTTGGGGCTATGAGCTGGAACAAAGCTGCTGCAAACATGATTGCCCAACCTGTTTTACAAACTTAAGCTTTATTCTCCCGAGGAGATGCTTAGGGGCGAAATTATTCACTAAGAGCCTCTGTGTTACAAAATCTCTGTGTATCTCTGTCTGTCTCTCTCTGAAACATACATGCCCCTAATATCTTGAGCTACTATAAAATCTCTGAAGGCAGGAAGGTGCCTTATTTCCCTTTAGACTCCCCACAAGTCTTCACAGAGTTTCCTAAACACGTTTGGGAAACACCATCTAATGAGCACCGGACTGCTGTGAACTCCAAGATATTTCAGTTTCTGGTGGTAAGGGAAGTAAGAGTCCCAGGCACAGAGGTACCCAGAGGGGACAGTTACTGACATATTTTACATTGTAGATGCCCTTGACACCTTCCTACATACTCATGAGGTGTCACATAGAGTGTAGAGTGTACAGAGCCTAGAGGGGAGCTGCCAAGGTCAAGACTTCTCTCCAAAGCTCACAAGTTAATTGTTTGCTTTTTCAAAATATGGATATTTCCCGAGCTTACATTTGCTGTTATATAAATGAGAACACTGGGGCTGGAGAGATGGCTCAGAGGTTAACAGCACTGACTGCTTTTCAAGAGGTCCTAAGTTCAATTCCCGGCAACCGCATGGTGGCTCATGTAATGAGATCTGATGCCCTCTTCTGGTGTGCAGGAAAACATGCT